CAAGTTCAGAGTTTCCAAAGTTCATCCGTTTTCTACTAAGAGCTCATACACTCACAACGGTTTCTCCAACTATTTAAAAAAACATGGCGGTCGGGCGGTAAGTGCGTGCTTAGAACGCGCGAGGCCCTGGTTCGACATGGACCCTCAAAAGTAAACAAAAACAAAATAACGCTCCTTTCCTATAACTGTACACCTCTAGTTTGAACCTCTTTGGCTCTCATAACGAAATTAACGTATCCATTCACAAAACGAATCCAGTGCAGCAACAGCAAAATAATTATTCAGCCCTGTGTGGTAGTCACGCCTGGAATCCCAGTAATCTGAGTCTGAGCAGGAGGATCACAAGTTCGAGACCAGCCTCAGCAACTTTTGAGGGCCTAAACAACTAAGTGAGAGCCTGTCTGAAAAATAACATAAAGGGCTAGGATGTAGCTAAGTGGTAAATTGTCCCTGGGTTCTGTCCCCAGTAACAAAATGACAATAATAATTATGTTGTTTTGGAAACCAATGACACTGCAGTACAATATTGAAAAACTGGTATTCAAAGGCACACAGGGGGCTATAGCTGAAGCTCACCAGCAGAGTGCTTGGCTAGCACATGTAAGGCACTAGATTGGATGCTCAGCACCACAAAAAAATTAATAAATAAAAATTTTTAAAAAAGTTACACAGTACATGGATCTGCACTTGTAGCTCACAGGTAGAGTACTATCCAGCTTCTGTCAAGCACTGCCTTAGATCCTTCCGCACCACATAAAAATAAAATAATAGCATTGTGTCTATCTACAACTAAATTTAAAAAAGAAAAAAGTCACAGCCCATACAGAGACTGGGGAATTTCCTTAACACTTAGCACACTTATCCTCCCTAATAAAGTCCTCCGAAACAGGTAAAGTTACCAGTCACTTCGACTCACAAAAGACAATTCTTAAAATTCACGGATTGTAGGATATCAAGGGCCCGGAGCTGCTGCAAACACCTATAATCCCAGCAGCTAGGGAGGTTAAGACAGGAGGATCCCAAGTTCAAAGCCAGCCTTAGCAAGGGCTAGGTGCTAGGCAACTCAGCGATGACTAATAGGAGATGCAGCTCAGTGGTCCAATAACCCTAAGGTCAATCCCTAAAACCAACAATTAAAAAATAAAATTAAAATAAAAGTCACAGTATATGGGCCAGCACTTGTAGCTCTATACTAGAATCCGTTGTCCAGCATGTATGAAGCACTGCATTTGATCCCTCCGCAATTCGCAAAAATAAATTTTTAAAGGTATTTTGTGTATTTAAAACTAAGACTCTAAAAACAAAATAAATAAGTCACAACAAGAGAGAGTGTGAATTTCCCGTTAACATTTAACACATCTGCTAAAATCCTCCAAAACACTTAAACTTACCAATTTCGACTCTCACAGACCCTTTGCCATCCAAGCTCACAAAAGACAGTTCTTAAAATTCACACACTAGAGGATATCAAGGGCAAACGCAAGTTCAGAGTTTCCAAAGTTCATCCGTTTTCTACTAAGAGCTCATACACTCACAACGGTTTCTCCAACTATTTAAAAAAACATGGCGGTCGGGCGGTAAGTGCGTGCTTAGAACGCGCGAGGCCCTGGTTCGACATGGACCCTCAAAAGTAAACAAAAACAAAATAACGCTCCTTTCCTATAACTGTAGGCCTATAGTTTTAACCTCCTTGGCTCTCATAACAAAATTAACGTATCCATTAACATATCCAGTGAACCAATAGCAAAACAAATCGTGCTTCCCTGAGCGGCAGTCACACCTGTAATCCCAGTGACTTTGGATGCTGAGACAGAAGGATCAAAAGTATGAGGACAGCTCAGCAACTTAGTGAGAGCCTAAGAAACTGAGACCCGGTCTCTAAAACAATATAGAGGATTAGGGATGTAGCTAAGGGTAAAGTGCCCCTGGGTTTTATTTTATCACCAGTAACAAAATGACAATAATAAGAATGCTGTTTTGGGAACCAATGACACTACAGTACAAATATTTAAAAACTAGTATCAAAAGTCACAGTACATGAGCCTGAACTTTTGTAACTTGGTGGTGGTACAGCTTTCGCCCAGCTTGTATGGGGCACTGTCTTTGATCCTCAGCACCACATATAACAACTAAAAAAAAAACATATTTTAAGAAATAAATATTGTGTCTATCTAAAACTAAAAATAGTGAAAAATCAAAAAATAAAAAGTCACAATACAATGAGAATGTGGATTTCCCATAACACTTCCCACACTTGTCCTCCCTGGTAGAATCCTCCAAAACAGGTAAACTCACAACTAATTTTGTCTCTCCTTATAGATCCTTTACAATGAAAGTTCACAAAGATAGTTCTTAACATTCATGGACTCTAGAATATCAAGAGCAAACTCAAATTCAGAGTTTCCAGAGGACCTACGTTTTCTTATAAAGATACACTTTCAACCATTTCTCCAAGTATTTAATTTAAAAAAATCGTAGACAGGCAGTGCAGTGCATGTTTATAATGTGCAAGACCCTGGTTCATATCCACTATCAAAAATAAAAGAAACAGGGCTGGGGTTGTGGCTCAGCAGTAGAGCGCTAGCCTTGCATGCGCTAGACCCTGGGTTCAAGTCCTCAGAACCACATAAAAATAAAATAAAGGTATGGTGTCGACTACAATTAAAAATAATATTTTTTAAAAAATAAACAAAAGAAAGCTCCTTTCCTACAACTGCATACCTTTAGTTTGAACTTCCTTGTATTTCATAACAAAATTAACATATCCCCTCATAAAACAAGTGAACCATAACAAAAGTAATAGTTCAGCCCTGTGCAGGTGACCAACCCTGTAATCCCTGTGACTTGAGGCTGAGGCAGGGGTGTTTGCGGTCAGCTCAGCCACTTGGCCAGACCCTAAGCAACATAGGGAGACTGTCTCAAAATAGAAATTTAAAAGGGATGGGGGTACAGCTCAGTGGTAAAGCGCCTCGGCATTCAATCCTAGTGTACACACACACACACCCTCTCAAAAGGAGTCGTCCAACTTAAGGAGACCCTGTCTCAAAATAAAGAGATGTGACTATGCTGGAATGTGGCTTAATGGTGAAGTGCCCCTGGTTTCAATTGGTACCAAAAAAAGGAAAACTCTAAATATTTGATGGGAATGGTGACGCACACTTGTGATCCCAATGACTCTGGAGGCTGAGGCAGTAGGATCGCAAGTTCGAGGCCAGTTTCAGCAACTTAACCGACCTCAGATCTTAAAATTTAAAAAATGAAAAGGGCTGTATGTGGCTTAGTGGTACAGCGCCCCTGGTTTCAATCCCCGGGACTCACCCCCGGCCCCCCAAAAAGAAACATAGAACAGAAAAAACTTTTAAAGGCTGGGGATGTAGCTCAACAGTAAAGCGCCCCTGGGTTTGGTCCCCATTACCCAGAAAACAAAAACATAAAACCCCCACTGCAAGCCCTCCTATTAATTGGAAGTCTCTTTTATCAGGGTTCGCTCAATGCACGCCGCACGTTTTCCAATCTCGGGACAAACTTTCTTCCCTGCCCCGGACTCACCGGAGGCAGGCCCAGGAACGTGTGGAATACAGGCCAACGTAAGACAAACTCAGAGAGCCAGCAGCCTCCCCGGGGGGAAGGCCCGCCAAGGTTTCAACCGCACGGGGCAACAACAGTGAAGAAGCCGTCCCGGGCGGGTCAGGATCCCGCTGCCAGGGCGGGAAACGAACACCGAGACAGTCCGCCGCAGCCGCCATGTGCCGCCACTCCATCTCGAAGTAGGTTATATAACACAACGGTCGAACGCTGGAGCGTGCAGTACCCGCCGCCGCTCGCGTCCGCCCCCTCGGGCCCGTTCCGTGCGGGCATGCGTCCGGCCTAGGCCCCACGAGGCGCCGCGCGGGGACAAGCTGGGCCCAGGCCGCGCCGACCCGCCCTCCGCCGCGCGGCCCAACCCCCGCCTTCCCTTCCCCCTACCTGAGAAGGGCGGGTGACCCAGCCGCCGCGGCCGCCGAGTCCCGGGGGGCGCGAGGCCAGGCGTGAGCTCCTCCGCGCGGGTCCGTCACAGCATCTCCCGGGAAACACGGGCTGGGCACACAAGCCTCCGCCCCGCGGAAGCTGCTTCTCTGCTTGTCGGCCTGCGACCTCCCGGCCACCTCAGAGCCACACACACCCGCCCCCCCACGAGAGTGCTTTCGCCGGCTGCAGGCCTGCACACTGCTCAGCGGCTAAAACGCAGACACTGCCCCGCCTCGGTGCTGAGTCTTGCCCCTCGCGACTCTGCTGCCTAGTCTTGGACAGCGCCGGCGCTCCTCTGCGTATTACCCTGGGCGGACAGACGGAGTCCCACACACACCCGAGAGGGGAGGGAAGGGGAGGGGAAAGGGAGGAGGAGGGCAGAGAAGGAGGAGAGGAGGAGGGGAAGAGAAGAGGAGATCGCGGCTATGGAGACCAAGTTCTCGCGAGGGTTCCGACCTCGCGCGCCGGCTCCGCGGGAATTTTCAAACTTTCCGTGAAAGTAAGTTCGGCGGGAGGAAGAGGAAAAGAAGCTGCATCTGGAAGAGCGGCTAGTTTACAAAAATTAGGATCTCCCGGCCTTGGATGAGCTAAGGGGGAGAAAGACTACAAACCCCATAGTGCCCTGCGCGTCGACCGGCTCTGGCGGCCCGGCCTGTGCGCCGGGTGTGGCGTCGGGAGTGGTAGTTTTCGCCTGAGGTCGCGCCGGGCGGAACTCGGTGCTACTCCTGCTGGCTAGGGTGTCTTGCCCGGGAGAGTCCCGGCGCTATCTTCTCGCGCATCCTGCTGGCTGACGGGTGGTAATCTTTTCCCCATTGGCTGATATATTTACCCCGTTTTTCGTCCTATGTCCTGACTTTCCATGCCAAAAGCGGGCCTCCAGACCCCTAGGGAAAAGCTTTTTGCCTTTCCTACGTGTTTCTTCAGATATTCTACCCTGTTTTCACGGCCGAAGGTGCCGCCTAGCCTAATGTTTTTCGTCAAAAATTTGCTTGGAGCTGAAGGTATAGCAGTGGTAGAGCGCGTGCCCGGTGTGCAAGAGGTCCTCGGTTCAATCCCCAGCACCATAATAATAATAATAATATAGATAATAGAGAAATTACCCCAAATCTCTTACCATTTTTGGTTTGTATCTTCCTTTAAATCTAATCCTAGCAGAGGGCTGGGGCTGGGGCTCAATAGTAAAGGGCTTTCCTCACACGTGTGAGGCACTGGGTTAGACCCTCAGCACCACATAAAATTATAGGAAGCTACTGTTTTAAAAAAAAAAAAAAAAAAGCGAGTCCCAGCAGGGTTGGGTTCGTGGATCAGTGGTGGAGCGCTTTCCTAGCATGCATGAATAACAGGTTCGATTCTCACCACCGCAAATATAAATAAACGGTCCATCGTCAACTGAAAAAAAAAAACTAGTCCCAGCACCAAATATGTGCAATACTAAGTAGTAAATCAAATATACTAAGTGGTAAATCGAATAAAAACGAGGTAGAATGAGGATTCTAACAGGCCCCTTTGGGGTGGGGAGGGCGGTATCCACCACACACAAAAAAAAGAAGAGTTAAAAGAGTACCTCCTTCCACTTATGCAATAAAAGTTTTTTCTTTAGCAGGGTGCCCTAGCACAAGCCTGTGATTACTGGCGTCTTGGGAGGCTGAGACAGGAGGATTGCAAGTTAAAAGCCAGCCTTGGCAATTTAGCGAGGCCCTAAGCAACTCAGCAAGACCCTGTCTCTAAATAAAATATAAAAAAGAGCTGAGGGTGTAGCTCAGTAGTTAAGCACGCCTGGGTTCAATCCCTGATACAAAAATAAAAGAGGTTTTTGCTTATTGTAAGTTGTCTTAATTTTCTGTGTGAGGAGGGGGATGCTGGGCATGCTCTACCTCTGAGATACACCTGCAACCCAATGGACCTCTTCAAACAGAAAACATCCTTCTCTCATATATGCTGATTTATGTTCTTGCTTTGCTCCACATTGTACACTTCCATCTTTTGAAACTACTTTATGCTCAATTCTTAAGTGCTGTTTTTAGCAGTCAAAAGACAATTTTCAACCCAGGTGTGCTGTCTGGTGAGATGAAAGTCAAACATCCTTTGGAATAACAGGAACTGGATCAGAGGATTGACTGAATCATAAAAAGACATTTATTAACCTTGCTGTAAAATCCCTTCTGAAACCAGAATGGAGACACAGGCCTGTAATCCCAGGAGGCTGAGGCAGGAGGGTGGCAAGTTGGAAGTCAGCCTTACCTACTGCAAGTCCCTAAAAAACTTAATCAAGACCCTGTTTCCCCACCCCAATCAATCAATCAATCAATCAATAAAAAGAACTGGGGATGAGCTCAGTTGTAAAGTACCCCTGGGTTCAATTCCCCACTACCACCAAAAACAAACAAAAAACTTCTGATTGTAAAATTTAAAAGTCTATCTCATTATTATTGAGATAGTCAACTTTCTACATGGTCTTGCAGATTTTAATATTTCCATCATTACCAAGAGACTGAGTTCTGAATGATTGCTTATAGTATGGACCAACACTACCTGTTCTATTTTATTTCACTACATACTTCCTAAGAATCCTTTCTTTGCTCTCCCTTTCAGGGTCTCCCAGCCTTTTCTCATCCTGTCTAAATCTAAATGTTCATCAGAGGCCCATGAATCACTAAAAGTTTACATTGAAAATATATGGCTGTGTTATTTTATGTCTCTTTCCCCTTTTTGCCCTTGGTTCTCTCCACCTACCCACAAAACCCCTATACACTGGGGGGGAAAAAAAACAGCTACACTGGGAACACAGACTGCATCTTTTGAAAATGTTTCTTTCATAGCTACTGCTTTTTAAATTACCTTATAAACTCAATTTCCACTTGAAAGCTCTCCTTTTCTTTCAGTCATGTAAGCATATGCCACATTCTTTTAATTTCAAGATAGGTTAGCAAATGTCAAATGAAAAAAATAATCTAAGTTTGGTAGTCAAAGGAGTTTGGCAAAAGCTAATTAAATAAAATTAAATATTTCTTTTATGTAATACTTCCCTACCTTTAATATGCTTGGCATTTCCCAAAGTTGTTTGACCATGGCATCTATTTATACATGAAAACATTTTGCCTCATTAGTGTTCCACACAACAGACTTTGGTAAACATAGCTCCAAAGATTTCTCTTTTTGAATGAAGCATAAGTAATGAAAAGAATGTGATCATTTGGAGCTGAATAAACTTGTTTTTAATGCTTTTCACTACTTCTAGCAACATGACTTTAATTAGGTTACTTCATTCTTTGAGCCTTTCTCAGTTAAGAAAAGATGTTATTTACTGTACTTCCTTTTTTAAAGATTAAAAAAAAAATCAGGCACCAAGCTCAGAAACTCATTTCTTTTAACCCATGCCTTCATTAAGATACAATAATATTAATAAAAAGGACCAGGAAACAATAATGGTAATAACTAATACAGACCCTAATGCTTTCATTTGGAGTATTTTATTCAAGAGACAATATTTCAGTTCCAATCTAGCATCCTGGAGTGACTGACAGCCATCTAATTTCAGGGAATTTGGACCTTATTGAAGTGTCACGAATTAGATCTCCATTTGTTCCTCACTACATTCCAATGATGACACAGTGGATGACATATAAAGAAGTGCTAAAGTAATTGTTTAGTGAATAAGTAAATACTTACAATTTCACCAAGTTAGAAAATATACAATATTTTATTAATAAGGGACTCTAAAAATGTTCTAGGTCAAGCAGTTTTTGGTAGATGGGAGAATTAATTGTCAAATGATTTGCCACAAATATTTTGAAACAGGTAGAATTGGTTTTATTTTTAAAACAGATGCTGAGCTGGAGGTGGTGGCACATGCCTGTAACCTCAGTGGTTCAGGAGGCTAAGGAAGGAGGACCACAAGTTCAAAGTTACAGTGTTGAAGGATTAGAAAAGAAGCTCTAGAGCCTTTCAGTCTGATGATCAGGATAGTTTCAAAATATAAAATACACTCCCACTAACTCTGTAAGACTTAAATGGAGTCATAATGCAGAAACATTAAAGGATAAAATGATGTGTGAAAAGCAACTTTGGCAGACTCCCATATATTTCCATCTGATTTGGAAACCACAGGTTATATAGAATAAATCTCAACAAGCCATTCTGTGAGAATGGCAAGCAGAATCTTTAAGAACCAAGTGCTTTTGGTGAAGTTATTTAATTTGAAGCATGTCTTTTTTTAGGGGGGGATACCCTTCAAGACTGCACACTGTCTACCTCCTGGAGAGAAGATCTGAAATAGTATCTCCTTTCATCATTGTAGCCTTCAACACCCCCAAACCAGGGATTCACAGACCAGAGCCAGCCTGAGTGAACTGTGTCCTATTCTAGACCAGACTAATAATTTAAATGCAATAGGGTCAGCCCTTCCAGTATATGACTTAAAAGCAACATTCTCCTGAGATTTCCCTTGAATATATGAAACACTTTGGGAAGCAACATATTATCAAGAATACAAACAACAATAAATGTGGGGGGAACGGTACACTCATACCTTGCTAGTAGGACTGCAAATTGGTGCAACCATAATGGAAAGCAGTATGGAGGTTCCCCAGAAAACTTGGAATGGAACCACCATTTGACCCAGCTATCCCACTCCTTGGTTTATACCCAAAGGACTTAAAATCAGCATATTACAGTGATGCAGCCACAACAGTGGTTATAGCAGCTAAATTTACAACAGCCACACTATGGAACCAAACTAGGTGCCCTTTAACAGAAGAATGGATAAGGAAAATATTATTTTATATATATATATATATATATATATATATATATATATATATATATACACACACACACACACACACACATATATATATATACACACATACATATATATATGATGGAATATTACTTAGCCTTAAAGAAAAATAAAATTATGGCATTTACCAGTAAATAGATGGAGCTGGAGAATATCATGCTAAGAAAAATAAGCCAATCCCCAAAAACCAAAGGCCAAATGTTTTCTCTGATATGCAGATGCTAATTCACAATAAAGGAGGGGGGGCTTGGGAAGAATAGAGTTACTTTAGGTAGAGGGGAGTGAAGGGAGGAGAGGCAGTGTGGGGATAGGAAGGACAGTAAAATGAATCAGACATTATTGCCCTATGTACATATATAATTATATAACCATGGGATTCTACATCATAAACAACCAGAAGAATGAGAAATTATAATCCATCTATATAAGATGTATCAAAGTGCATTATACTATTGTATATAAGTAATTAGAACAAATAAAAAAATAAAAAGCATTAAAAAACGAAACATGAAAAGCACTGAATGTGGACAAAAGAGGTATAAATTTGATCTTGACCTAAGAAGCTACCCTTTGCTATCGGTGCATCCATGGAAAGGGAACTTCCACTGTCTAAGCCTCAGTTTCCTTACTTGTTGTG